GTGTGATATTCTGAGTTTCTCGACCAATCAGCGCGCGAGATTTTCAATAATCACCTGTGTATTTATACTAATTGCTAATAGCTCCAGTTTTTCCCCACATGACTAGCTGACAGAATGGCTTCCAGTCGACGTGCAACTTTTAAAATGTGGTTTTTTAAGGTCGTGACAGTTAATATGCAAATATTTTCAAAACTAAAAACYAGATATGCGCAACTGCCTGATAGTTCCATTTGCCATGGGATCAGTAGTGTTTCTAAGTACTCAGCTTTAAGGCCCTTTCTGGAATCTAGAGAATCTTGATGATTGGAAGGATCTGTGAAGTGTCAATATTTTAGTGTTAAGTTTAGTTTAATTTGTATCCAATCCACCAGTTCGTCGTGGATTTTGGAGATGACGAGCAGTGATGAAGGCGATTTACGACTTCATATGCGCCAAACGCTTCGTACGTATGACCGGAGCAACCAACAAATTTGCAGTTGTTGTAAAGGCAAGGAGCAAAGTATGGATGATATTTGTCATGTCGATAAAGGGTTTTACAATTTCCAGTGCAGGTTGTTCCTTGAAGTCTTAGAAAATCAGGCTGGTGGCATGTCGTAGAGATTTGCTGCAGAAGATCTAGTGTCTTCATGTCAACTCGAACATAGTCAGAATTAGAAAAGTCAGCGGACTCGAAGTTACATGTAACACGCCAGTGTGTTGCGTTGGTCCTTATGTGTGTCATGTCTTCAAGTGACAATCGATAGTTGACCCAGTTTGGACTTGATTCATTGACAGGGTGGTCTTCAAATAACTTCCAGTAAAAATAGTTCATTTTCTTCGAATACTCAAAAGATTCCACGAGCGTCCAGACATAGTCCGGCTCGGATGTAAAGTCGCAATACACTTTTAACTGGCTGGTCAAAGATGGTCTGGTGATCGTATGAACACCTGACTTGGGTTTTCCAGGAATTCCAGCACATGAGACTATGAACTCGCAGTATCTACCTTGAGTACCAAGTGGACAAATGCACTTGAACTTTCGTCTGACGTCTTCACAAGTCTCCACGCATGTTCCACCGTTCATACAGGGATTCGAATGACAGCAGCCGTTACGGCACCCCCCTGAACAATTTATGTTATTGTACTACAATTAAAACGAGAAAGAAAAAGGGAAACTTAAAAGCAAAGAAGAGGTAGACCAGCCAACCAGCCAACCAGCCAACCAGCCAGTATTATAAAGACAAATATCGAAACTAAATTTACTTGTTAATTAATTAATAATTCCACAACTAGCTTGCCGTGTACCTTAAAGTGCTGTTTCAGTACATAGTACTTGTACCCAGCCCTTTGTAGAGCATTTTTATCCTCGTCCAGCAACTCGCACCGAGTACCAGAAATCTGGTAAGACAAACATCTACAATCAGATACACAGTAGCCGAAGCACTCCTGAGCATAAGTAATGGTTAGGTTCTTGTAAGAATGGCCAACTATCGCTTTGTCATTTTCGTAGTCTTCGGACCTAAACCTTCCAGTGTACTGTGTAGAAGGGCACGATGATGCTAAGACAGCTGTAGAGAGGTTCTTCAGTAGGAATATTAAGTAGGCAATCGCCTTCATGCTGGTAGAATTATCTATCTGAAAATACAGGGAATATTCTTTTAATTAGGATTTAGCTCTTAGTCCCGCGCTTGTTGTTGTATGTTAGCAGAGTTGTTTGTTGGTTCTGTCGCGGCCAAATGTAGCCGGCGCTAGGTTTATTGAGACTGGGCCGAGCAATTAGCGGAGTTATGCATATATCGCCATCAGAACAGAGTGAGAGCAGCTAAAGGGCCTCGTTTAAGTTTATGGACCGCTAAACTACTTGCCTAGAAGCTAAACTAGATCTCGAAAGTAACATTAAAATCCCGGGGGGGGGGGG